ATTCCAATTTAGGTGTTTTGAAAAAAAAAATGCTCTTTTTAACAAGGAAGGTTGTATAAGTTAGGGCTTTTCAACCTTTTCACCTATTGCACCACTTTTAGGATATGGCAACATCCGAGGACCACCAGTCGCCTAGCAAGGTGTCAAAAACTTGATGACCAAAAAAAAAAAAAAAAGGAAAAAAGTTATAAAGTACAGGTAGTCCTCAACTTACAACAGTTCACTTAATGACTGTTCAAAGTTACAATGGCACTGAAAAAAGTGCCCCCCAAGCCACAGCTTAGCAAGACACCTGCCTGCCCACCCAGCGGCACTCTTCCTCCTGTCCGAAGTTTTCATTGTTGTGAGCATTTCTGTTGAGGATTGGCAGGGGGGGTGGGGGTGTTTGGTTTTTATTCCCCCCATCTGCTGGGTGGTTGCAGCAGGTTTTGGTCACTTCACATGACCCTGGGACACTGTGACCGTCATAAATATGAATCAGTTGCCAAGCATCTGAATGTAAATCACAAGACCCTGGAGAGGCTGCAACATTCCAGCTGATTGGCGCTTCTTCTGGGCTCAGCAGAAGCCCCAGGATCAGCGCCAAGCTCCAGCTGGAGCCTGGCACTGATCCTGGCGCTTCCGCTGAGCCCTGACAGCCCTGCAGCTCCAGCCGTCTCTCGCTCAGGCTTGTGCGGTGCTGCCACCGGTTCAGCTCATTCCCCTCCCTCGCTACCACTTTTCTAGGATGGTCGCGTACCACCTGCCAGGTGCCAATGGACCACAGGTGGTACCCGTACCACTGGTTGAAAAGCCCTGGTATAAGTAGTAGTCCTCAACGGTTCATTTAGTGACCATTATAACGGCACTAAAAATAGTGACAAATGACCACGTTTCACACTTACGACCGCTGCAGCCTCCCCAGGGTCACATGATCAAAATTCGGATGCTTGACAACTGGCTCGTACGTATGACAATCACAGCCTCCCGGGGTCATGTGATCCCCCTTTGTGACCTTCGGACAATCAAAGTCAACGGGGATGCCGTGTTCACTTAACGACCGTGTAGTTAACTTAACAATTGCAGTGATTCACTTAACAAATGTGGCAAGAACGGTCGTAAAATGGGGCAAAACTCACTTCGCCAGTTTCTCACTTAGAAACGTAAACTTTGAGCTCAATGGTGGTCGTAAGTTGAGGACTACCTATATAAATTAACTGGGAGGTGGATTCTAAGGATTATAATTTGGGAAGGAGTTAGATGACACAGCAGGACAGGTCGTCCTCGACTTACAACCTTTTGTCTAGTGGTCATTCAAAGTTACAACGGCACAGAAATAAAAGAGACTTAAAAACCATTTTTTACATGTACAACCATCGCTGCATCCTCCTGGTCACGTGACCAAAATCCAGACTCTTGGCAACTGGCATGTACTTAATGACGGTTGCAGTGTTCCAGGGTCACGTGATCCCCTTTTGGGACTTTCTGACAAAGCAAAGTCAATGGGGGGGGGGGAAGCCGGATTCACTTAACAACCATGTTTCTAACTTGACAACTGCAGGGATTTGCTTAATAAACATGGCGAGAATGGCCAAACTCACTTAACAAAAGTTTCACTTAGCAACTTAAATTTTGGGCTCAATTTGTGGTCATTGATTCGAGGACCAGCTGCCTCTGGAAAAGCAAACAATAGGGAATTTATTTCTGGCTATTACACGGGCAGTCCTCAACTTACAACCTTTGTTTAGTGACCACTCAGCATTACAACGGCACCGCAAAAAAAACCCGACTTGTCCTGGCACTTGCCACTTTTGTTAACTTTCGTTATCACTTAATTATAGGCAGTCCTCCACTTACAACCCTTTGTTTGGAGGCCGCTCCAACGGCGTGAAAAAAGGTGACTTACATTACAACATCCTGGAGCCTCCTCAAGGCCACGTGATCAAAGTCAAGTTCATTCGCTTAACAAACTGGGGCAAGAAAAGGTAAAACGGAGCCAAGCTCACTTAACAACTATCTTGCTTAGCCATGGAAATGTTGGCCTCGACTGTGGTCGTAAGTCGAGGATTATTTGTATTCCATTGCGGATCCGGTTCTCTCAATCTCGGCTGGCTGCAGACACCCCTGAGCAGAAGACCAGATTTTGGCACAGTGATAGCTTTCCCTTTTGCTATAAAACTTCCGACGGAAGATCAGAAAAGAGAACTCCGGTCTTGGGGTTCCCCTCTTGTCCTCGGAGTACAGTCAGTGAACTCCAAGGACGAGAGAGTTGAACCCCAAATGCCACGGTGGGTCCTAGCCAACCCACCACCGCCCTCGCCTGTGTGGGATGCTCAAAATTACCCCTCTAGAGAAATGAGAACTCAGCTCTAAAACATACTGAGAGATAAACAGACTTCTGTTGCAGCGGAAGACAAATTTTGAGGTAGAGCGAAACAGACTTTTGCTTATAATTTAGAATTCATTCCTCTCTTCCTCTCTCCCTCTTCCTTTTCCATTCTTCATCCTCCTTCCTCCCTCCCTCCCTCCTCCCTGTATCCGTCTTCCTTCCTTCCTTCTCTCTATCTTCCTTCCTTGGCTGCTTCCTTCCTCCCTCTCTCTCTCTATCCATCTTCCTTCCTTTCTTTCTTTCCTTCCCTCTATTCACCTTCCTTCCTTCCTTCCTTCCTTCCTTCCTTCCTTCCTTTCTCCCTCCCCCTCCCTCCCTCTTCCTTCTTTCCTTCCTTCCTTCCTTTCATCCTCCCTCCCTCCCTGTATCCATCTTCCTTCCTTCCTTCTCTCTATCTTCCTTCCTCGGCTGCTTCCTTCCTCCCTCTCTCCGTCTCTCCCCCTTCCTTCCTTCCTTCCTTTCTCCCTCCCCCTCCCTCCCTCTTCCTTCTTTCCTTCCTTCCATCCTCCCTCCCTCCCTCCCTCCTCCCTGTATCCATCTTCCTTCCTTCCTTCTCTCTATCTTCCTTCCTTGGCTGCTTCCTTCCTCCCTCTCTCCCTCACTCCATCTTCCTTCCTTCCTTCCTTCCTTCCTTCCTTCCTTCCTTCCTTCCTTCCTTCCTTCCTTCCTTCCTTCCATCCTCCCTCCCTCCCTCCCTTTTTCCCTTTTCCCTTGATTGCTTTCTACCTCGTTTCTTGAGCTGGCTCCAGTTCTGAAGCTATTGGGGTTCCTTCGTGGACACTCGACAAGGAATTTGAATTATTTGCCCTCCTGCTCAGAAGTCCAGTCCCACTGAAGTCCAGTCCCGCTCACCCAACACAGGCAGCACTTGCAATTTGCAAGTGTTCTTGGATCCCTGAGGCCTCCTGAGCATAATCTCCCAAGAGTCGCACCATCTATGTTAATGGGCCCTTTAATTTACCACAGTAATGGACTCTGATGAAGATGGATTAATTTGGATTAGGGTAGCCAGCCCTTTGTGGAAGATAGATAATTACACTCCCCGATTCTCATCTGTGCATAGCTGCCAACGGTTGCGCGCACACGTGGGGTGACCTTCTTGCTGGGTACAAAGGGGGGGGGGTGCAAGGAAGAATGGGGGTGATTTTAGAGCCCAGCCTCAGAGCCACAGCAATAGCTGTACTGGCTAATGTTGATAAATGCAATCATTTATTGGAATATCACAGCCTTTAAAGCTCACAGCAGGCCTCCCTCGGTTCAAATGGATTCTTCTTTCCAGCCTCTGACAGTTTTGGGTCATATGAGATGCAATGCTGGCCTAGACACCAGAAAACAGTCTCTCCCACCTTCTGCTCTGCACCCCCCCCCCAAATGTCCCCACAACCTGAACAAAAACGAGTTGGGGATCGTAGCACCTGAAGGTCTTCCAACTTAGAAACACCTCCATCATGCCTAAGGCGGAACCGGAACTCACCGTCTCCTGGTTATTGGCCCAAAGTCACCAAGCTGGCTTTCATGCCTAAGGTGGGACTAGAACTCACAGTCTCCTGGTGATTGGCCCAAAGTCACCCAGCCAGATTTTCATGCCTAAGGTGGGACTAGAACTCACTGTCTCCTGGTGATTGGCCCAAAGTCACCTAGCCAGACTGTCATGCCTAAGGTGAGACTAGAACTCACCGTCTCCTGGTGATTGGCCTAAAGTCACCTAGCCAGGCTTTCATGCCTGGTGGGACTAGAACTCATCATCTCCTGGTGACTGGCCCAATTTCATGCCTAAGGGGGGACTAGAACTCACAGTCTCCTGGTGATTGGCCCAAAGTCATCCAGTTGGCTTTCATGCCTAGGGGCAGGACTAGAACTCAGTCTCCTGCTGATTGGCCCAAAGTCACACAGCTGATTTTTCATGCTGAAGGAGAGACTAGAACTCACCGTCCCCAAGTTTCTGTTGCTTTTACCACTAGCGCAAACTGGTTTTCCAATCCTAGGGAACTTGCTAAGACAGCCGTCCTCAACACGTCAGTCTCTCTAGGTGTAGCGGATCTGAACTCCCCTCATGCCCTCTGAGAGTTGACTATGCTAGCTGGGGAGTGATGGGAACTGTAGTCCCTCAGGCTAGAGCAAAGAAAGGGCTTCGGAAAGTAACCGAGCAAACATCTGGGGTTTTTTTTCTTGTTAAAAAAACCCAACAACAACCAAGAAACAAATTGGAATCTATTTCCCCGTGAAATCCCAGCCTGATCCGGAAGCATTTATAGCCCTTGAGGTCAGGGGCCAAGAGCTGAAAAACCAGGAGCTGATCGGAAACTTCCTCCATACCAAGAATCATGTAACCCCAGAGAGCCTCAGCGGAACATCTGTGCTTTAGATTCCAGGCCTTTCTGGACCATTGTTGGCCGGAGAAAGGCAATTTTATTTATTTTTGAAGATTTCCAGGAATATGCAGGAAGGGACGAAGGCGACCAAAGCACAGTGGCTTTAAATAGGCTGACGGGTTCCTGTTGAAATGCCCACTTGTGGGTTTTACCCAAAGGAACAAAAACCCGGCAAAGAACGGAAGGTTATAAATGAATGAAAGGAAATCACCGTTGGATAAGAGAGGAGTCTGAGTTCTGATCACGCGTCTCCTTTGTACCTGTTCCAGATGCCGCTGCGTCCCGGCTGGGCGACTCGGACATGGCGTCCGCCAGTCTTTCCCGAAGACCCTCGTCCGTCTGCTCCAGGGAAGACAGGTGACGCAGCCCAAAGCTCTCCGGCCAGCTTCCGCAGACTTCCAGAAGAGTCATGCTCCGGTCAAAGGTCCCTGCGAGAGAATCCGACAAAAATGAATATAGGGAGTCCTTGATTTACGACCGTTCGGCACTTAGGCGAAAAGGGGACGGGTTTGATCCTCCCGCCCACGGCCGTTGCAGCCTCCCCCTGATCACGTGATCGAAATTCAGACGCTTCGTGACTGGCCTGTATTTACAATGTCCCCAGGTCACGTGATCCCTACTGGCGACCTTCTGACCGGCAAAGTCAATGTGGGAAGCAGGATTCACTTAACAACCGTGTTGCTAACTTTGGGACCTTTACAGCCGGCTTCTGACGAGCCAAGTCAATGTGGGAAGCTGGGTTCTCTTAACGATCGCGTGATTCACTGCAGGAGTGCAGTCGTCCACTTAACAACCATGGGGGGAAAAAGGACGTAAAATCAGGCACGCTTCACTTAATAACCTCGTTGCTGAAAAATAGAAATTCTGATCTCAGTTGTGGTTGTCACTCAAGGACCACCTGTATTCTTCCATCTATATCTGTCTGTCTGTCTGTCTATCCATCCCTCCCTCCATCCCTCCATCATCTATCTGCCTATCTATCTATCTATCTATCTATCTATCTATCTATCTATCTATCTATCTATCTATCTATCTCACTGGTTCTCAACCTGTGGGTCAGGACCCCATTTGGGGTCAAACGACCATTTCATGGGGGTCGCCAAACAACGCAGTCCACCATTTTTTCCCGCCTTTTCCTTAGCTGTGCTACTCCCTTTTATTCTATTGGCTTTTGAAAGCCAATAGAATAGACTCTCTTGAATAGAGTCTAATTCTATTGCTTTCAAAAGCCAATAGGAATTGTCCAGGCTGTCTCTGCCCTGCTGAGCCCACCAAAAGTCCCATTCTGCAAACGGTGCTGCACCAGTTGAGTAGTCCTCAACTTAGGACCGGTTGAGTAGTCCTCGACTTACAACCGGTTGGGGGTCGCAGCATTAAAAAGGTTGAGAACCACTGATCTATCTATCTATCTATCTATCTATCTATCTATCTATCTATCTATCTATCTATCTATCTATACATCCACATCTCTCTCTCTCTCTCTCTCTCTCTCTCTCTCTCTCTCTCTCTCATCTCTATTTATACTTCCCATTTCCTATCTGTCCATCTCTCTTGGAGATATTTCTTTTCACCATTAAAATCCAAGAATGCTTTCCTGTATTAACATTTATCCAAAGCACTGAAGGAGATCCTGCTTAATTTAGTGGTTCAAGGCACTGGGTAGAAACTGGGAGACGGTGAGTTCCAGTTCCATCTTGGGCATAGAGCCAGATGGATGACTTTGGGCCGACCCCTTTCTCTCAGCCTCCTCACCCAGAAAGCCAATGCAACCCACTTCCCCCCAGAATAGCACTTAATCATTGCATTAAACAGAAAATAGGAAAAACAGACTGTGTTAAACAAAAGAATGGGACGGTTAAGTTTGTGAACACATTCAAAGCATTAATACCTGAAAACTTTGTGTAAGAGCCAAGGACACAGTCATGAAATCTTCTGCATTTCTAGCAGGAACTAAATTAAAGTGAATACTTTGCAGAGAAAGGGATTGCCAGTAGTTTAAGAGAGCACAATACAGCCTAATAGACTAGACCAGGGGTAGGCAACCTTGGCTCTTTTATGACCGTGGACTTCAACTCCCAGAATTCCTGAGCCAGCTATGCTGAGGAGAAAGGGAGAGGTTTCCAAGCTGAGGAGAAATGGAGAGGTTTCCATGCTGAGCCATGCTGGCTCAGGAATTCTGGGAGTTGAAGCCCACGAGTCATAAAAGAGCCAAGGTTCCCTCCCTCTGGCTTAGAATTCAGTAGTAGGCAACCTTGGCTCTTTTATGACTCGTGGACTTCAACTCCCAGAATTCCTGAGCCAGCCAGGCTGAGGAGAAAGGGAGAGGTTTCCAAGCTGAGCTATGCTGGCTGAGGAATTCTGGGAATTGAAGTCCACGAGTCATAAAAGAGCCAAGGTTGCCAACCCCTGGACTAGACTGTAGTAACTTGAAGATATGTGGACTTCAAATCCCAGAATTCCCCAACTGTGTTGGTAATTGGCCCTAAGTCACCCAGCTGCATGGCTAATGCAGGACTAGAACTCACCGTCTCCTGGTGATTGGCCCAAAGCCAATCAGCAAGCTTTCATGGCTAAGGTGGAATTAGAACTCTCTTTCCAGCCAGCACCAAACTGGTTCTCCACCCCCCACCAACCTGGTTGACTTTTGTAGCGGCCTTCAAACCCAAGATGAAGCACCCCAAAGAAGGAGAAAAAGCCTGTTCGGAGACACCGGCGCAAACTCCTACACACAGCTTTAAAACAAAACAAAACAATAACACCCTTAGTTCACCAGTTGTTTTCCTAATTTCCCCCCCCCCCAAATAACTAAAAAATAAAAATAAAACCTGACATTTGACTAAACGCAAAGATTAGATTGCGGCCCTCCGGATCACTTCAAAGTACAAATTAAAAAAATATTGGAGACTCTTATGCCGCAGGGGTATGGTGGGGGTGGGTGGGTGGGGGGAACGGCCCGTTCAATCATTCCTGCTCGGAATGAGATTACAGTGGCAGCTTTGACGCTGGATCGCATGCCCGTTTCGCTCTGCAATTAGGTAACCGAATCTGTAGGGTATTTTACGCAGGCCTGTTTTTTGCCATTTAGCTGGCAGGCGGGCTGGAAGGAATCCTATGGATGGACGGGCCGGGTTTTTCTCCCAAGTTAAAAGCCTCCCCACCCCTGGCCTGGTTTATCAGGGGTCTGGAGCGCCCCTTTGATCCGCTGTCAGGAGGGATCTGCAGGCCTGCTGGGACTGCCCAGTTTCAGAGCTCACTCTTGGCCTCTGACAGGTCGTAATAGAAAGGGCGAGAGACCAGGTCCGGCGGCAGGCGTCGCTTCCTCTGATAAGGGCCAAAGGACGGGCTGATAAATGGGTGGTAAACACGCAGGGCCGCCCGGCTAATCCATGCATCAGCAAAGAGGAGAGATAACGCCCCCCCCCCCTGCCCTCGGCCGAAGGAATCACATCAAGGTCCAAAGAGCGTGCCCTGGGGCGGTTGGATCAAAGCCCTTGGGTTGGGTTGGGTTTTTTTTTTTCTCTTTTTCCTGGCTTGGATCATGAAAAAGGCCCGTCTGCCAGTTGCAGGTGGCATCTAGGGAGGTTTTGGGGGGAGTTGGGGAGGGAGAGAAAAGATGGAGAAGGAGAAGAGATGGAAGGAGGAAGGGAGGAGGAGGAGGAGGAGGAAAAGAAGGATGAGAAGAAAAGATGGGGATGAAGAAGGAGGAGAAGAAGTAGAAGGAAAAGAAGAAGTAAGAGAGGAAGAGGAGGAGGAGGAAGCTAGACTTTCTGAAAGTGGTTTCTGGAGACCATCAGGAGATCTCTCCTCCTCCTCCTCCTCCTTTCTCCTCTATCTTTTCTCGTTCTCCTTTGCCATCTCTCCTCCTCCTCCTCCTCCTCCTCCGCCCTTTCTATTTCTCCTCTTTCTCCTTTGCCATCTCTCCTCCTCCTCTTTCTCCCTTTCTCTTCCATCTCTTCTCCTCCATCTCTTTTCCTTCTCCTTTGTCATCTCTCCTCCTCTTCCTCCCTTTCTCCTCTATCTCTACTCCTTCTCCTTTGCCATCTCTTCTCCTCCCTCCCTCCCTCCTCCTCCTCCCTTTCTCCTCCATCTCTTCTCCTTCTCCTTTGCCATCTCTCCTCTTCCTCTTTCTCCCTTTCTCTTCCATCTCTTCTCCTCCATCTCTTTTCCTTCTCCTTTGTCATCTCTCCTCCTCTTCCTCCCTTTCTCCTCTATCTCTACTCCTTCTCCTTTGCCATCTCTTCTCCTCCCTCCCTCCCTCCTCCTCCTCCCTTTCTCCTCCATCTCTTCTCCTTCTCCTTTGCCATCTCTCCTCTTCCTCTTTCTCCTCTATCTCTTCTCCTTTGCCATCTCTTCTCCTTCTCCCTCCCTCCCTCCTCCTTTTCTCCTCCATCTCTTTTCCTTCTCTTTCTCCTTTGCCATCTCTCCTCCTCCTCTTCCTCCCTTTCTCCTCTATCTCTTCTCCTTTGCCATCTCTTCTCCCTCCCTCCCTCCTCCTTTTCTCCTCCATCTCTTCTCCTTCTCCTTCTCCTTTGCCATCTCTCCTCCTCCTCTTCCTCCCTTTCTCCTCTATCTCTTCTTCTTCTCTTTTGCCATCTCTTCTCCCTCCCTCCTCCTCCTCCTCCCCCTTTCTCCTCCATCTCTTCTCCTTCTCCTTCTCCTTTGCCATCTCTCCTCCTCCTCTTTCTCCCTTTCTCCTCCATCTCTTCTCCTCCTTTGCCATCTCCTCCTCTTCCTCCCTTCCTCCTCCATCTCTTCTCCTCCATCTCTCCTCCTCCTCCTCCTGCTCCAGAGGGGGCCCCACTGTAGTTCCAGAGATGGTTTGAGGGAGTGAGAGGAGAGAAGCATGAAGCTGCCAAACCCAGGAAGAGCTATTAACGGCTATGCATGAGGTGGCAATTTGAGGAAAGAGACCAGGGATTAACTGTGCCCGAAAGCTTTATTGGGAATACAGCCCACTCAGGAGCTCAGCCATGATTTTTGCTCCAGTTTAATCTCCATGAAGCTATCCCACAGACGTGCTGGTGAGAAGCCTCGCTGCAAAACATTCAACTTGGTCACGTGTGATTCATCGGCCTCTTTCTTTTCCCGAATACAACTCCCATTTTCCATGATACATCTGGTAGAGTTAGTTCTTGATTTGCAACCATTCCTTTCGTGACCGTTCAAAGTTACAAAGACACTGGAAAAAGTGACCGATGACCACTTTTCACATTTACGTCCATTGCAGTGTCCCTATGGTCATGTGATCAAAGTTCGCATATTTGGCAACTGGCGTGTATTCACGACGGTGGCAGTGTCCCAGAGTCATGTGATCCCCTTTGTGACCTTCTGACAAGCAAAGTCCATGGGGAAGCCAGATTCACTTAACAACCGTGTCACTAACTTAACAGCTGCAGTGATTCACTTAACAACCGTGGCACAAAAGGTC